CTGTTAAAAGTTTGAAGATATAATATTTGCCTTCTCTTTTAGACAATGAAGTAAGACAGCACCAATCAAGTGATAAATTGAGCATGTGCAAAAAGAGAACAGATGGAAGAAATAAAAAAAGACAAGTGCTGACTCAGGCTCACTTATGTGAGGTAGAAGAAGTTGGGGAAATAAAATTACATTAGGTTTAGGCAACTTTCTCTCTGTCATCACTTTCACAAGTGTGAGAGAAAGGGGTGGTTTGGAAGGCTATGCCTCCAACCACAAACTTTAACAACAGCTTTGAAGAATAAGATATCTGATATTCAGCTCCACAAATGTGCTGATAAATATAAATGACATTCATCCTTCCTAGTAGCATAAATAACACTCACAAACATGGAGCCAGATTTTCTCTTTGGAAAATACAAGTTTTGTGTTTTATATGAATTTGTGAACTGCTTGCAGCTAGATACAGAGGGCATTAGGGTTTCCCAGACAATATGCTAGAAATAAGACTCCTGTGTCTGTCAGATCTGCTGGAATCTGATGCTTTGATGTGAACCTCCCTGCTCAGTCATTTGACATGTCATTTACAGTTTTTTAATCTTATAATGAGATTCAGGTAAAGGTCAGTCTGAAAGAAAAATTCTTGAAAGAGCAGCAGGAGGCCAGAGAGCAGAATGGAAAGGGAGAGAGAAAATAATCCTATTCATTTCTCTGCAAAGATTTCATGTACCAGAACCTCAGGCCATTTGTACACTAGCCCTCCAGGAAGGAGCAGCCCCAATCTGCTCCTCTCCACATTCCCACCGCCTGTGTTATAGCGGATTGATGTCTGCAGAAAGGAGCCTCAATCCAAGACCATGAAATCAAATGTATTCTTCTCAGCAGGTCATTTCTTTCTGCCTATTTATTTATTTATTTATTTGGAACCGGGACTCAACCTCAGGACTTTGTGCTTGCCAGGCAGGTGCTGTGCCACTGAGCACTATCCTCAGCCCCAACAAGTCATTTCTAATGATCCACATGTTCTAGATAAGTGATTATTTTTCTAGGAATATTCTGAATGCCAAACCTTTGGGAGTTCTTAGACTGCCAAAGTATCCTCATAAATGTTCATACATGCTTTGAGAACCATTGCAGTAAACTGACCTAAATTATTAAGTTGTACAAATATTCA